AATGCAATCAGACAGGTGGAGGAAACAGTTCAAGAAAGAACTGAAAATTGAACTACAGACAATAAAGAAAACACAAACCACAGGAATTCTAGAAATGGAAAATCTTTTTAAATGATCAGGAATCACAGATGCATAAAAAGACACAGGTTTACAGAGCGGACATGAAAACAGGATCTATCCTTCTGCTGCATACAAGAAACACATCTCAACTTCAAAGAAAGACATTACCTCAGAGTAAAGGGCTGGGAAAAGATTTTCCATCCAAATGATTCTAAGAAGCAAGCCAATGTAGCCATCCTAACCTAATAAATAAAATTCAAACTCAAATTATTTAAAAGAGATAGAGAAAGACATTTCGAAGTCATCACAGAACAAATCCATCAGGACGAAGACTCGTTTCTGAACATTTATGCCCCAAATACAAGGTCATCCACATTTGTGAAACATCCATTACTAAAGCTTAAAGCACACATAAAACTCCACACACTAACAGGGAGAGATTTCAACACTCCACTCTTGACAAAGGACAGGTCTGCTAGACAGAAACTTAGCAAATAAAGGAACTAAGAGATGTTATGAAACAAATGGAGATAACAGACATACATAGAACATTTCACCCAAACAAAAAGAATATACCTTCTTCTCAGCACTTCATGGAAAATTCTCTAAAATTGATCACATACTCAGTCACAAAGCAAATCTCAACCAATACAAAAAATTGGAATAACCCCCCAACATGTTATTGGATCACAACACAAAATAGGAAAGTCTACAATCTCATAGAAACTAAACAAAGCACAACTGAATCACCACCGGGTCAAAGAAGAAATAAAGAAAGAAATTAAAGATTTTCTACACTACAATGAAAATGAAGGCACAACACACCCAAACTTATGGGACACAATGATTTGGTGAGAAGACGAAAGTTTATAACACTAAATACCTACATAAGGAAGTTAGAGAAATCTCACAAGAGATTTAACAGCACACCTGAAAGCTCTAGAACAAAAAGAAGCAAACTCACCCAGAAAAAGCAGATGACAGAAAAAAAATGAGAACTAAAATCAATAAAATAGAAACAAAGAGTCCAATATAAAGAAGCAATGGAACAAAGAGTTGGTTCTTTGAAAAAATCATTAAGACAGATAAACCCTTAACTAAAAGGCAGAGAGAATATATCCAAATTAACGAAATAATGAAATGAAAAGAGGGACATAACAACAGACACTGAGGAACACTAGACAATCATCTGGTCATACTTCTAAACCTGTACTCCAAACTTTGGAAAACCTAAAAGAAATGGATAGTTTTCTGATAGGTACAACTAACAAAATTAAATCAGGACCAGATTAACAACTTAAATAGACCTATATCTCCTAAGGAGAGAAGCAGTCATTAAAAGTCTCCTAACCAAAAAGAAAACCAAGGGCCAGATACTTTCAGCACATAATTCTACCAGAATTTCAAGAAGGAAATAATACCAATACTCCTCAAATTTTTCCACATAATAGAAACAGAAGGAACAGTGTCAAACTCTAGGAGGCTATGGTCATACTGATACACAAACCACACAAAACTGAAACAATGAAAACTACAGACCAAGTAGGCTTCATCCCAGAGATGCTGGGATGGTTTAACATATGAAAATATGTCAATGTAATCCATCATATAAATAAACTTAAATAAGACACCACATGATCATTTCACTAGATGTTGAGAAAAGCCTTTGAAAAAATACAACTGCCCTTCATTATAAAGGTGTTGGAGAGATAAGGGATGCAAGGAAAATACCTAAATACAGTAAAGGCAACATACAGGAAGCTGACAACGAAAATCAAACAAAATGGAGAGAAACACAGAGCAGTTCCACTAAAATCAGGAACAAGACAAAGCTGTTCACTCTCTTCATGTCTATTCAATATAGTACTCATAGTTCTAGCTAGAGCAATAGGACAACAAATGGATATCAAGGGGATACAAATTAGAAAGGCAGAGGATATGATTGTATACACAAGTGACTCCAAAATTCTACCAGGACTCCTACAGTTGACAAACACCTTCAGTAAACTGGTAGGATACAAAATTAACCATACACAAATGATAAATGGGCTTAAAAGGAAATCAGGGAAACATCACCCTTTACAAGTGTCAGAAACAAAAGATATCTTCGGAAACTCCAACCAAACAGGTGAAAGACCTGTATGACCAGATCTTTAAATATCTGAAGGAAGAAACTGATGATATCAGAAAATGGAAAGATCTCCCATGTTCTTGGATGGGTAGGATCAAAGCAGTAAATATCACAATCTTACCAAAAGACATATACAGATTCAATGCAATCTCCACCAATATCTCAACATAATTCTTCACAGATCTTGAAAAATCAATGCCCAACTACATATGGAAAAATGAAAAAAAAACAGGATAGCAAAAACAATCCTGTACAATAAAGGGACCTCAGAGGGTATCACTATCCCTGACTTCAAGCTATACTATAGAGTTATAGTAATGAAAACAACTTGGTATTGTCATAAAAACAGATACATGGATCAATGGAAAGAAACTAACATATCTGTGAACACCTGTTTTTTTGACAAAGAAGGTAAAACTATGCAATGGAGAAAAGAAAGCATCTTTAGTGAATAGTGCTGGTATAACTGGATGTTGACATTTAGAAGAACGCAAATAGGTTGAAATATATCATCAATCACAAAACTTATATCCAAGTGGATCCAAGACCTCAATATAAATCCAGTTACACTGAACCTGATAGAAGAGAAAATGGGAAGTATCTTTGAATACATTGGCACAGGAGAGACCACTTCCTAAATATAACACCAGTAGCACAGACACTGAGAACAACAATTCATAAATGGGACCTCCTGAAAATGAGAAGCTTCTGTAAGGCAAAGGACATGATGAATAAGACAGAGTGGCAGACTATATAGTTGGAAAAGACTTTCACCAATCCTATATCTGACAGAAAGCTGATCTCCAAAACATATAAATAACTCAAGAAAGAGGGCATCAAAATGCCAAATAATCCAACTAAAAATGGGTATAGATCTAAACAGAGAATTCTCAACAGAAGAATCTCCAATGGCTGAAATAAACTTAAAAATTTGTTTAATTTTGGCTAAGATCTAAAACACTGATAAGAGCTTATTCAGGAGAGGACAGGGAGTAAGGGGAACACTCCTTCATTGCTAGTGGGAGTGAGAATTTATACAGTCACTTTGGGAATTAGTATGGCAGTTTCTCAGAAAATTGGGAATCAGTCTCCCTCAAGACCCAGCAATACCACTCTTGGGCATATACCCAAAGATGCGCTATCATACCACAGGAAATTTGCTCAACTATATTCATAGCAGCATTATTCATAATGAACCTGGGAACAACTAGATGGTCCTGAAACTGAAGAATGTATTAAAAGAAATATAGTACATTTACACAATGAAGTATTATTCAGTGGGGAAAAAATGGAGTTTTACATTTACAGGCAAATGAATAGAACTAGAAAAAAATCATCCTGAGGGAGGTAACCCAGACCCAGAAAGACAACCATGTTATGTCTCACTCATAAGTGGATATTATATGTAAAGAAAATTATAACCAGGCTACAATCCACAATCCCCAAGAAGCTAAGAAACAAGGAGGACCCTAAGAGATACATACATGATGCCCCTGGGAAGGGGAAATAGATAATATCTCTTGAGTAAATTGAGGGCATGGGGCTTGGGGGAAGGGAATGAGTGAAATGGAAGGGGACAAGAACATGAGGGAACAGGATGGTTGAGTTTCAGGAGGGACAGAAAGGGAGAGCAAGAAAAGTGGTATCTTGATACAGGGAGCCATTATGGGGTTAGGGAGAAACCTGTTGCTAGAGAAATTCCCAGGAATCAGTAAGGATGACCCCATTTAAGATTCCAAGCAATAGCAGAGTATATGCCTGAACTGGACTTCCCCTGTAATCAGATTGGTGACCACCCTAATTATCATCATAAACCTTCATCTAGTAACAGATGGAAGCAGATACAGAGACTCACACTCAAGCACTGGGCTAGAACTCAGATTCAAGTTGAAGAGAGAGAGGAAGGATTAAAGAAGCAAAGGGGTCAAGGTCATAGTGAGGAAAATCACAGAGACAGCTGAACCAAGCTAGTGCGAGCTCACTGATTCTGCATACGACCGAACTAGGTCCCTCTGAATGTGGGTGACATTCTTTGGCTTGGGCAGTCTGTGGCAGCACTGGCAATAGACCAGGATATTAACCTATTACATGAACTGGATTTTTTGGAGCCCATTTCCTATGGAGGGATACCTTACTCAGCCTTGATACTGGGCTTAGGGACTTGGTCCTGCCTCAACTTGATATACCAGAGTTTGTGGATTCCCCATGGAAGGCCTTATGCTTTCTGAGGAGTGGATGAGGGGTTGGGTCGGGGAGGAAGACGGGGGAAGGAGAAGGAACTGTGGTTTGGTATGTAAAATGAAAAACATAATAACTTTCAAACAAAAAAATTATTTTCTCCAGAACATTTGGTGTTTCTTCATACTCTAATTTATCTGTTCTTTTTAAAGCTTTCAGAATTTTTCTTGTCTAGAGTAAATAATAAAAACCTCCTAATGGTTTCTTAAAATTGACAGAATGTACTAATTTTTCACTACTCAATTCTCAAGAACTTTTTCTTTTAGACGCTTACTGTTCTACTCCACCCACCTGGTTTTCTTTGCTACCAGCTAACAGTTACATGTAAGGTTATTTTGTTCCTTTTTTCTCCTTTAAAAATCGATTATTTAATTTCAAACTTAATTTTGAGGTTTTGTACATGATTACTCTTTGACTCATACTCACTTATCTCTTTTACACCCTTGTGTACCACTGATCCAGCGAAAACGGAAGGCAACTGTTTTCAATAGAAGCCAGGAGGATATTGTTTTTAAATGTCAAAAGTTACAATGCATAAAAACAGGTGAATTTAGACACTTAAAACCCTTACCTCTGTGGCCAACTTCTCTGAGCCGTTGAGTCTCATCAGGCCTTCTTCTGTTCTGCAGGCCTGAAGAAGACTTATGAAATCTCACTGTTGTGTAAGTTGTCTCCTCATCACTCATCTTGAGAGTATGTAAAGTACAGTCTGTGTTAAAATCTTGACTTTATGGATTTCTAGAGAAAAAGTTAAAATGTCCACCTTTAGGAAGGGACCTGGATCAGATGCTGCAGTGGGGTAGGAAGAGTGGGGTCTTATAAACTCCTGTAGTGATCTGAACATCCTAAATCACATGGGCTGACCCTGATTTCCACTAGAGGTGAGAAGTCTATGAAGATTTCTGCCATTTTTACCTCTAACAGTCACAACGCTTATTATTAGGAAATGCTGAAAGAATTAAAAATTTACCAATAAGTCATTGTAATGTTTACACAACCTGTTTGTTTAGAATATTCAACATATGTAAAAATGTGAGTTAAAATCGGTATCACTGCAAACTATTGAAATACTTTTTAAATTATCAATACAAATAACAAACTGGAAAATTTGTGGATGAATAAAATTTTGCTTTAAAGTTATTTACACATTTTGATAAATTCACAAATATAAAAAATGGATTTTTAGTGTTTTCAGTTATACATGACCCTCAAAGTTTCCCAGACACCACCCACAAAATAATATTTGAATGTTAATCCTGCAGATGATTAATATTAGGGGATCCAAGACTCATAAATATTTCTTGGGTTAAAGCCCAAACACCGGAGATGTTCAATCCCTCCACCCAGCAACTGCTTACACCTTCTTTTCCAGGCTCAGGCCTGGTTAATGCATGGAACTAGAATTGATCCTACTGCGTGGGTTAACCCAGACCCCAAAAGACAGCTAACACATATTTTCTCACATCGGAGGATCCTGGCTCCAAGTCCTCAGACTTGCTACATAACCTGAAGTAACTGCAGCAACCAGGAAAGTAGAAAAGGTTTTTGCAGAGGTGAGGTGAGGGAGCGATATAGAGGGGAATATCATGACACAACCTGAAGTTTTAATCTGAAACCATTGCATTTATGTGATCAATACACATATTATATTCTAGTATAGGATATTGTCAGAGGAACCTATATAAAAATAAGTTAGTATGCAGCAGTCTTTAGTTATGACCATGAAGGATTCAATCTGATAATAGATAAAAGTATTTTATTAAGTAGTAAATATTTGTAACTCACCTTACCTCTTACATCCACAGCTGAGACAGTAGTCAACAGATAATATGGAAAACAAATTGTACATGGATTGATTCTTCTCTAGTTTTTTTAATTTATGAAGTTTTCTGAATTTACTAAAAATTTCCCTTAATTATTTAGAAAAAGGAAACTTTCTATTACAGAATTCTTTTAAAAAATTGTTATATATTATTATTGGGTGGGGGGGCATGGGAGTACCTGAGCCATAGTGCATGTGTCCACAGAATAACATTACCGAGTGAGTACTCTGATTCCACTTTTATGTGGGTCCCATGGATCAAACTCAGGCAGTCAGTCAGGCTTTCGTAGCGAGTATTTTACACACTGAACCATCTTACCTGGCTCCTATTATGACTTCTTCAAGATGGGTATATAATGAACTCCAAAGAACCCTCGACCTTATTTTCTTATTACACAGCAGAAGTCACAGCACAATTAGAAGTAAAATAATCAGCGCTGAACTCCAGTTTTCACATGCTACCAAAGTCAACCAGATCGAACAGAAACTACTAGACTTCCCCAGCAATCCCACTCTCACATCATACCATCCGAAATTCTCCAGAGTGCATAAGAGTGTGTGATAGAAAAACAATAAAAGCAGCTGTTACCTGTGTCTGTACCCAGAAGTGGTTTAGGTGGAGGGAATTTATCTCCCGAGGTGGGACAAGTTGAACTTCCCTGGACTTTCTCACAGGCGCCAAGAGAAAGGGCAGAACTGAATTGCCTCTGAGTGATAGATACTCCGTCTCACGATTTTCTGCCCCTCCTCTTGACAAAAACTCAAAGAGGAAACTGTGTGATGAAAGCTGATGTTGACAGAAAGGGAAGAATCAACATATCATTACAGATGCTGTAAATCCTGACCATGATCAATATTTTAAGACTGAGATAGACATACATGCAAGAAGGTAAAACTACTGTCCTCAGCAAAACCATTAGTAAAAAGTTCCTCTACACACAATTTTGTGGTAGGCTGTTGGAAATTTTCCCTTATGTTACTATTTGAAGAAAAAAGTTACTTCCTGTTTTTGAAGTATGCTTATTACAGCTAAGTGTGTTTTAGGATACCTTTAAGCACTCACATTTCTACCGTGAAACTTGCTGTGAACATTTATAGTTTTTCATTCATACATAATATTTACTGTGAACATTAATGTTATTTACTGTGAACATTCATTGATATCATTAAATATGGAGCAGTCATTGCTGATACTTTCATGGTGTGGAGATATCAAATGTAAGAAACTTAGCATGCTCCTTAAATATTCTATGATTTAGGCTTAGGCTTTGGTTCTGTTTTGCTCTGGTTTAGAGTGTGTGTGTGTGTGTGTGTGTGTGTGTGTGTGTGTGTGTGTGTGTGCGTGCCTGTCTGTCTGTTTTGATTTTGTTTGTGTGTTTGTTTTGAGACAGTTATTATATCACACTTACTATGTAGCACAGGCTGTTATCAAACTCACAGTCCTCTTGACTCAATTTCTTCACTGCTGGCATTACAGCTATTTACCACCACAGCAATTTACACCATGTTTTTTGATATTTTCTTATAAGCAAAAAACATTTCTATGTTTTATAAATATTGACCTATGAGATATTTTAAGCCAAATATAATTATTAATCAATTGTAAACAGTACAACTCAAATAATCCTCTACTGCTGAACATTTACCTTGTTTTACAGCATTTTGCTGTTGTTAGTTTACAAACTTCACAGGATATACATTACAATATACTTTGAAATTTTAGTAATGAAATCATATAGATAAACATTTAAGGAACTCTAAACAGATTATCACAAGGCCTCTAGTTCATTTATAGTACACCAGTTGTGTGTGAAAATACAATTGATTTTTTTAAAGATGAGATATGGTGAATTTTTCTTCTTTGTGAGTTTTTTCCTTCAGTTTGTAAATGAGAGTTCCTAGAAAGAAGCTGTGTCATCAAATACTGATTTACTTAATAAAACTACAGTGGACAAGTTGAAATGTCATAGGTCCAGAGGCTAATTACCTGGACACAAGATATCTCTAGCCCCTTAAATAGCTATTTCTTGCCTGTCTGTGTCAGAACTAATATCCTGTTACTAACAAAGAAAAGCATCATGAAACCTATTAACAGACCACTAACTTTCACCAACCCGAAAGCTGAGAATGTCATCTGATGACCTACAGAAAGCCTTCCTCTATTTTGCTGTAACCACCTTTCTGGTGTACTGACTAATGTACCCATTGAGCCATCTTTCATGTTCCCTTTAGGTTTTTAAACCCTGATATCTCTGAGTCATCACTCAAGTCTGCGATTGTCAAGTACCAGAGGTCCCCTAAAACAGCTCTTAAACATTAACTTATCTACACAGTGTAAGCAAAGTTCACTGGGTGCTGCCTGTAAATGCAGAAGCTAGTCACTTTTGTCTCTATACCCTCATTCTAGGGGATATCTGCCTCTAGTGTTAACACACACACACACACCCACACACACACACACACACACACACACACACACAAAGAATGAAAGAAGAGATTTAATAGGGTTGTGCTTAGAGGAGAAAACAAGTGGAGTGGAAGAGCAGCAGCTCTAAATATTAATGAGAAAGGAAGAACAGCTGCAGAAAGGCATTGGATAATACAAAAATCTACAGAATTAAATCAGCCAGTATACTTTAAAGATGTGTTGGCCTCAGAATGGAAACCAGGACATGTGTTACATTGGGTAAAGGGTTTTATTTTTGTTTCCACAGGAGAAGAAAAGTTATGGATACCATCAACATTGATAGAGATTTGATTCAAAGAAGGCACCTCTTAATTAGAAGAGATGATAATTCATTAAGCAACATGGACACTTAATCTAAACTAACCTATACACCTAACAAATATTTTTCATTTGATAAGATATAACTTACCAAAAGAGAACTCCCCAAGATTATGGTTGGGGAAAGAGTTTTGTTTTTATCTTTTCAGAACAATAAAGGTATCCAGCTAAGGAATCCAGAGACTACTTTACAAATGAGACACCTGAAGAAAAAGGACGAATATCCATTAACAATTTCCCACCAAAGAGTAAATAGACCTATTGGTATATCACATTACCAACAGGATAAAAGTTCTAAAATCTTCCCAAATGTTTGTTTCTGCTTTTCTCTATAGTCATGCAATGTAAATGGTCTTGATAGTTCTAGTCCAATGTAAGATTAAAGCTAGCTTTCAAATTGGAATATACTCTTTCCTTCTGTAAGTCCAAGCATGCTTGTTAAATTAAAATCTAAAATCTCCGTGTCATATTAAAAGAACCACCTGACATGTGACAGAATAAAAATATCTAAGGACGAATTTATCATCACTAATATCATAACCCTTTGGTTTTATAATATTATCTCAAAATCTATAAGATTAATATATGTGTATTCTGAAGTTTTTGTCATGATATTAATGGCCATATAGATTACTATCTAATTCTAGAAAAAGGCTTCTTCTACCTTCTTGTACATGATTTCATGTCAGAATCTGATGTAATTCTACTTACTGCTAAAGTCAGTCTTTGTAAGAAATCCACGAAGGCTTCCTTTGTATCCTGCATAACTTTTGTAAGTGTTTCAATTTTCTTTCCTACTTCTCCAATTCTATCCCAAGAGTTCAAAGCTGCTACATATCCTAAAGCCAAGAGGTGATCATCATATGGACATTGCCTTTCTAAAGTAGCATAATCTCCTTTTTCCAAAAAGTAGATCCTGGGTGATATTCTTAATTCTAGCTCTAGCTTTATCCCATTGTTCAATAGTCTTAGCTTTTTCTCTCAACCATGTAGTACACTGTAATTGTGAACCAGGCTCTAGAACACTTTTAAGCAAGTCTATCCAGTCTGTGGAAAATGACCACATGTTTAACATCTGCTACACAAATGGTGAATGGATGTCATATGAGACTACAGTTT